CCATGTTGACCAGGATGGTCTCGATCTCTTGACCTCGTGATCCACCCGCCTCGGCCTCCCAAAGTGCTGGGATTACAGGCTTGAGCCACCGCGCCCGGCCAAAAGTAAATATTTAACAGAAGTTGCTGGTGCCTGTAATCCCAGCTACTTGGAAGGCCGAAGAAGGAGGATCGCTCAAGGCCCAAAGTTTGAGATCAGCTGGGGCAATGCAGTGAGAGGGGCCGGGGGGTGAGGGCCTCTGAGTGGTCCCTCACCCCAGGGTGCACCTTACAATGACCATGAGGTACCAGGGTTTCTCTGGCACCCACACAGGGTCAATAACATTTAATGGATCTTTGTTCTCTGAAAGGGAACAGGAAAGTAAACACAGGCTGGCCACAATTTTCATTCAATAACTGGAAAGGCTGCTCTCATTTGATCTCCAAATATTTTTTTAAAACAAACAATGCTTCAGAGTAAAATTTCTATTGACTTAAACTACAAAAACATACATCGCAGGGAGTTGGGGGACTCAACAATGCAGGTCTCTGGACTAGCCTGCCGGCTGTGCCAGAGTTCCTACAAGGTGACCCAGCACTGACCCGTGGGGCAGCAAGGCTAGGACTGCTGGGGGCCTCTAAAGGCAGCTGGAGTGCCTCTCTGCCGGGGTGGCCCTGACAAAAGGCCAGGACGCTGAGAATTTAGAGATGGGAACACAAGCCGGTGAACCCCACCTGCCCTCACCAATACTCACTGCCAGGAAATGCCCAGTCAGCAAGGGACGGACTGACTGAGGGAAACGAGCCCCCTCTGCTCGAGTCTGGGGTGAGGCACAGGGTGTGCTCCTGCCTGGAGAGTGGCTTACGGGAACCTGGCCCTGGGTGCCCACCCCTGGACACCCCCACACCCTTACCAGCAGCAGACATGCCGGGGCTGGTCCCCTATGGCCCTGGCCTCACCTTGGGCTGCCCGGCTCTCTGCCAGCTGCTCTGCCAGCACACACCCTTGTTTCACTTGGGGCCACCTGGCTAGGATGCTCCCTCCACTCCAGCACAGTGCCTTGGCAGTGCCCACTGCACGCCGGGGGCCAGTGTGTATAACATCCCCAAACCGCAACCCAGAATGTCCCTGACACTCAGGCCTTCTCTGTTGAGGCTGTTTCTCTTTGGACTCCAAAAACAGTTGTTATCTGTGACTGTAAGGCCAAGTGGTTGCTCAGGTTGGTCACTTCATAGCCTTCCTAGAGCCACACCCAGCTCCTCTAGGCCTAGAAATGAGGGGTACCAAGGGTTCCAGGCCTGGAATGCCTGGCCCCTGAAAGTCCTCCTTCCCCTTGGCTCTCCTGCTGATAAATGGCTTCCTGAAATGACCTCAGAGGACGCTGCCCCTTTCTTGTTAACCACAGGGCCCTCTCCTCCCACCTGTGTCCTGGCAGACCCTGTGTAGGGCACGTTCGCAAGGCATCTCTCCGTCTGGGGATACGGAAGTAGCAGCAGAGGGGCCAGCTCCCTGAGGCCCACCCCTGAGCTCACAGGCTGCCTCATCCTAGGCCATCCCAGCCCTGGGAGGACCAGACACCTCTTCGCTGGGGTCTGAACCCTGAAGAGGGATACGGGAGACAGACAATTCCTCTCCCCCTGCTCACTCCCAAAGCTGTGTTCTGTCTTCCTGGAAGACGGACACTGGTAGAGTCACATGCTTCTATCTGCCTCTGCCCACCCTTGGGGCCTGCTGCGTGCTAAACACCCGGTGGCACTTCACATTTCTCATTTAAGCCTCAAAACAACCTTTTGAGGTGGTTTTATCGACCCACGTTACAGAGGAGGCTAAGGCTAAAAGCGCCATGACATACTCAAGGCCTCACAGCTAGAGGGTGGTTAGGGTCACACGGGAGCCCAGGACTGTCCACCTCTCAGGCTAAGACACCACGTGGTATTTCATAGCACGTCTACACTCAGCTAGAAAAGACTCCACTATGATAGTGTTTTAGAAGGATGACTTGCCAGGCAATGTTGGGGATGCTCCTTTAATTTCATGACCTAGTCTCCTCATGCGTGAAGCCTGGAACAGTAACTTCTGCTCTGTCTGTCTTATGGCAGAGATCAGAGCATCAAATATTGGTGGCTAAAATATCTTGGAAAAGGAAAAGGTCCTATCTAGACAAAATGTGTTTATACCGTAGACACGACAAAGACCAGCTCTTGTTCAGTGCCCCCTACCTGCTGCCTGCTTCCTCTGCTCCTCGAACAGATCAGCCGAGCTTATGGAGGTACTCGCTGAGAGCCTCTCAAGGCGGGCCCTCGTCTCATACTAGAGAAGACAAGGAAAAGGAAATATTAGGCTCCAAAGATTGTCGGCAGTTTTGCAAAAAGAATCACTGAAGAGCTGTCATTTGGAAGGCTCTTTTTCTCTAACAAGATACTGAATGCAACTGTCAAGGCCAGGTCCTGGGGGACAGCACAAAGCTCATGCCCTGCATGGGAAGCAGGTCACAGGGGGACAGATGGACACAACACCTCAGCCAAGATGGCCAGTGCAGAGGCAGCGAGAAGAAGGGAGAGGGGCGGCATCTCTCTCCTGGTGCTGCTTCTAGCCAGCTGTCAGCAAAGGCCTCTCTAAGGGGCTCTTTTCCAAGCCCCATGACACTATTTTAAAACTGAATTTGAATGTCAACTTTGTTTTTTTTGTTGTTGTTGTTATTGTTTTTGAGACGGAGTTTCGCTCTTGTTACCCAGGCTGGAGTGCAATGGCGAGATCTTGGCTCACCGCAACCTCCGCCTCCTGGGTTCAGGCAATTCTCCTGCCTCAGCCTCCTGAGTAGCTGGGATTACAGGCACACACCACCATGCCCAGCTAATTTTTTGTAGCTTTAGTAGAGACGGGGTTTCACCGTGTTGACTAGGATGGTCTCGATCTCTTGACCTCGTGATCCACCCGCCTCGGCCTCCCAAAGTGCTGGGATTACAGGCGTGAGCCACCGCGCCCAGCCTGAATGTCAACTTTGAAGCCAGGCAGATTTTATGAACTGTGGGAACAGCAAGGGGCAATTCTACTCTTGAAATGATAGTGAAAAGTGATACTTGTAAAAATCTGAACTTCTGCGAAACACATTCAGCACATTTTAGGAAACCATTGTCCATATAGTCAGAGGCACACTAGTAGATCAGGGTGAGGGGAAAGACTTAAACCTCCCCACTTCCACTTGAGTCTTACAGCTTAGCAAGGCTCCACTATGATGAGTTCATTAACCTTTTTTTTTTTTTCTGGAGACAGTCTCACTCTGTCATCCAGGCTGGAGTGCAGTGGTGTGATCTTGGCTCACTATAACTTCTGCTTCCCAGATTCAAACAATTCTCTGCCTCAGCCTCCCAAGCAGCTGGACTACAGACATGTATCACCATACCCAGCTAATTTTTGTATTTTTTGTAGAGATGGAGTTTTGTCATATTGTCATGTCGGCCAGGCTGGTCTCAAACTCCTGGCCTCAAGTGATCCACCTGCCTCAGCCTCCCAAAGTGCTGGGATTACAGGCATGAGCCACAGTGCCTAGCTGAGTCCATTAACATTTCCGAGAAAAGCCAACAACCTGAAAATAAATAGATGCACTCCCCAGAAACGTATCTGGCCAGACGCAGTGGCTCATGCCTGTTATCCCAGAACTTTGGGAGGCCGAGGCAGGCAGATCACCTGAGGTCAGGAGTTCGAGACCAGCCTGGCCAACATGGTGAAACCCCATCTCTACTAAAATACAAAAATTAGCCAGGTGTGGTGATGCATGCCTATAGTTCCAGCTACTTGGGAGACTGAGGCAGGAGAATCGCTTGAACCTGGGAGGTGGAGGTTGCAGTGTGTTGAAATTGTGCCACTGCATTCCAGCCTGGCCAACAGAGCAAGATTGTGTCTCAAAAAAA